ATGAGCAAGGAATATTTTTCCATTTACTGAGATCTTCTTTGATCTCTTTCTTCAGGGTACTGTAGTTTTCATTGAATCAATCTTTTACTTCTTTTGTTAGATTGATTTCTAAATATTTCAGTTTCTTGTATGTTATTGTCAAAGGTATGGTTTCCTTAATTTCTCTCTCGGTCTGTTTATTGTTTGTGTATAGAAATGCTATTGATTTTTGGGTGTTGATTTTGTATCCAGCTACAATGCTGAATTTGTTGATGAATTCAAAGAGTCTTCTTGTGGAGTTTTGGGGGTCTTCCATGTAAAGTATCATGTCATCTGCAAATGGTGATAGTTTTACTTCTTCCTTTCCTATCCTTATTCCTTTCATTTCTCTCTCTTGTCTAATTGCTATGGCTAATAGTTCCAGAACTATATTGAACAGGAGTGGTAAAAGCGGGCATCTTTGTCTTGTTCCTGATTTTAAAGTGAAACCTTTCAACTTTTGTCCATTTAGAATGATGTTGGCTGTTGGATTGTCATAGATGGCTTTGATCAGGTTAAGGTAAAGACCATCTATTCTTATTTTCTGTAGAGTTTTTATCATGAATGCATGTTGGACCTTGTCAAAAGCTTTTTCTGCATCTATTGAGATGATCATGTGGTTTTTGTTTTTGGCTCCAGTGATATGGCATATAATATTATAGATTTCCAAATATTGAACCAACCCTGCATTCCTGGAATGAATCCGACTTGGTCATGATCTATGATTCTCTTGATAATTTGCTGCATTCTATTTGCTAGTATCTTATTGAGTATCTTTGCATCTATATTTTTTAGAGATTGGTCTGCAGTTCTCTTTCTTGGTTGGGTCTTTCTATGGTTTTGGTATCAGTATAATGCTTAGCTCCAGAAATGAGTTAGGGAGAATTGCTTCCATTTCAATTTCATTGAAGAATTTGAGGAGTATTGGTATTAAACCTTCTCTGAATTTCTTGTAAAATTCTGCTGGGAATCCATCAGGGCCTGCACATTTCTTTGTTGGTAGGTTTTTAATCATGTCTTCTATCTCATTAATTGATATTGGGTTATTCTGGAATTTGATATCTTCTTGAGTCAACCTTGGTAATTTGTACATATCTAAGAATCTGTCCATTTCTTCTGAGTTTTCTATCCTATGGGAGTAAAGATTTTCCAAGTAGGTATTGATGATCTGAATTTCTGTGGAATCTGTAGTAATTTCATCCTTTTCAGTCCTGATTGCATGAATCTGAGTTCTTTCCTTCCTTTTTTTGATAATGTTGGCTAGGGGTT